AAATGTATGACACATTCTCGTCAAGGTTCACTCTAAAAAATGTTGTTCATTAGGGGCTAACTTCTCCAACCCGTAAATCAGGATGCACGATGACAGGCAACTCATGTCCGCCTCTGTCACTCAATTTCGTGACACAGGTGGCAATCTCACCCGCCAAACTGAATTTTGCAAGACATGAGTGAGTGTTGCCTGTATACAAGATGCCTGTTGCATGCACTGCACGGGAGGAGGGGAGGAATAAAGAGAGCCAACCTGCCTACGAACGGACAAAAGTTGAAAACCACCACAGCAAGAAGAACTGAACATGTTACTTCGGTTGATGGCGAAATGTTTGCAAATAACTCACGACTCCGCACGGTGAGCGGATGAAAATGATCTGAAATTTCTTATTACACTTTCTCTCTCTATTTCATATCTGACTTCTGCTTTATCAAGTATTTAAAAAATGNATTTATGCCGGACTCGAACCGACCACATAATCAAGTTCTCACGTCCCTACGCATTGTGAGTTTCGTCCAAAAATCAAATTAGAAACACGGGACATAGTTTTTACGGGTATGCATTAGCGAATCAGAGCAACGATTCGAAACAATGTAATGCGGGCGATTAGATCGCACGAAATTGCCTATTGTCAGCTAGAAAGATGCACACGCTGAAGATTGAAGTACTGCCATATCCACTTCATCAAATTGTGAGCAACTTAATAGAGTTTTCAATCTCATAAATAACCACAAAAAAGAAAATTCAACAGAAGCAACCATTGGACTACTTAGTTCTAGAAAATCACCCAAAACGAACAAGAATTAAAAAGTTGTGCAATAAGTAGAATGCTTTCCTCTGGACAAAATAGTTCAATTTCACCAGTAGAACATCAGGTCTCGGCAAAGACAACTGAAAAACTAGTGAAAAAGGGAACATATTGGGTGAGAGTGAAAACGCATGGACCTAAGCAAATTACTCCCCTTCTCCCTGCTCAAACGCTTCAAATGAGATTGAATAATGCAATTCAGTTGGATGATGATGGCAGGCCGATGGATGGCATCAGGGGGTCGAGGTCGGAGCAGTTTATAAGCGTGTGAAAGTGGTTTCACTATCAACGACCATCTGGGCCTAATCTCTTTTCATCGAACTTAGTCAGACCCAGGGTAATGTTGACAACGCATTGACCCACCCAGATATTGAATTCGTAGCGTTGTGCTACCGGGTCTTAATCCTCACAAGTGTGCCATCGTAGCCCCTCGTAATTCGTCCCTACTTCAACTAATCTGAGTGCTGCCTGTGGAGGGAAATGAATTTCCTCCAAGTCTGACCCGTCCACTCTGCGCACATATGACAATTTTTCGGCCTTAGCAATCGTGATGACCACTGTAAGTAATCAATCCGGAAATGGTTGTCCGTCCATCTTCTGTCACTTTGATTTGGCCGCCCGAGCCCTACTTGTATTGGAGAGAAGCTTTCATCATCACTTTATTGCAAACATACACTCAAGTTTTAAGATTAGCCTATTTGATTAGATATATTTCGGGGAATAATCGGGGATATTTTCGATGCGATAAAAATCTTGTAGCAGTTGACTGGTACGTGACAATACGAACTGTGAAGTTACAACTCTCAGTCAATAACAGATTCAAAAAGTGTCTAACAGCAAAATGTGAAGCCAGTGGTAGGACTGTAAGGCGTGCGATGGACAATGTACGTAAAGTGATCAGCCAAAGTGGGGTTTATCACTTATTCAATCTGTATTTTTCCGTCTGGACAAGGGTTGCTTTTTCATTAAGGGTGGTCATCTCAATCTGCAACATGTTGATAAAAAATCAACACTACTCGGTTCGTGATGAATTAGCGGGCTCATTGGGAAATTAGTTCTACGGATTAAGAATCACTTTTTGATTAGAAAACTGGGCTGTGCTCAACACCGATATGAAGATCAAAACGACCAAATCGAAGAGCTTGCCAATTTCACCAACCAGCACTGAGCACGTTGCACCACTAAACGGAAAATCAATCGACATTTCACCCCACTTCAGATGCCGATGGTCACTCAAACTCCACAACAACCAAACCAAGAAAACGAAATAGCAACTCGAAAAGACAGATCTCGAAGAGAGTATTTTAAAGTTAAGGGGTAACTATGGCACAAAGAGATCAGTACCGAAATTAAATTTCTGTTCTTCTATAAGATCCATTCATCTCTGCTGTGAAAAAGCCATTATTTCAAAAAATATATACGTAGACTTGGTCTTCGAGTCCTCTGGCACAACAGATTCTCCTATAAGGAAACGTGACTTTGATAGTACAGAATAAAACGCATCCAGGTGCTCGCTGGTCAGTGCCACCTTTGAAGTCCAGTCAACTAGGGAACGTAACATACGAGTAGTTAACCAAAGTCGTGAATACCCCCCGCTGTAACGGTTAGCGTTGCTATACCGATGAACAACTTAAAAGGGAGCGCAGAATCGTTGATTTCAACGAAGAAAACATAGAGACTCAACAAATCTACAAATTTCACTAACGGAACAAAAAAAACCTGGAGCTGGTTTGGGATGACCATATCTCAGGATTAACAGTGAAATAAATTTATCAATACGGCTTGTTCTTTCTGAGGAGATAGGCGAATTAAAAGTCAGTAAGTAAATACCGTTTGAAGTGCTAAATACCGAAGTGAATTTTAAATGTACAAGGAGATTCGCGAAACCAATATCCGGATATAATTTTGACCACATATTATGGATGCTATAATGCATGTGGCGATTACGTATTGAAAGGTTTGAAATGGAACAGTGTGGCTTTAAATTGTCAATAAAGACAACCAAGGAAATCAGCTCTACTCGAGAATGGCTAATCTAGCTTCATATCATTTCAACAGAAAACACAGAGTTCTCCTAATATGTCGATTACTAAAGTGCCCATGCTAAGTTTTATTCATATAATGGTGCAGGCTACAAAACCAACTGTCCATGATTAAGTCACAATCACTTCAGCTACAACCCATTGTTTGAGAGTGTAGGGGACAAAAACTGGTTCCAAAAGTTACGGAACCACGAAAAGCAGAAAGTGGTAAACTAAATAAGCCACAGATACAACATTACTGATGCGCATAAAAACAGAAAATTGAATTTCCCCTCCAGCCAAATAAACAATCACTCGGGTAATTACTCTGAAAAATAATGGTGATACAAATGTATTTTGAGTAGTAATATTTACCTCAAAAACCTTACTACTAATGAGTAGCACCAAAGTGAAGTACAAAATCTCACGCTTCCGAACGGGTAGGTGATCCCATAACAGCCCGTAAGAGGGAGGAATTCAATCTACTAAAGTTAAACCAGCAAATGAATAAATGAGCTGTTTGAAACTAGCGAGAAATAGTTCTTTTCGCACCGAAAAGACAAAGGAGCTCCTGACTTTAAATCAGTAACAGTGAACTAAATGCTATTGGTGAAAAACTGAAATGTGTGATTTGAAAAATACACGTTTAAGAAAATTTCGCGCCACTGAATCATCTTAAGTAATCCGGCTCATGGAAGGGTGTGTCGGTTCCTTGCTGAGTCGTAGAACTGCAGTCACACAAACCAACGTCAAAAATCACTTATTTCAGCACACACCACCTCAAAGGTACAGAATACATAGGTATTTCAATTTCCGGTCTCACGATGACATCGGTTTTAGTAATCTGTTTTTATTTTATTTTCCCATGAAAATTTTATTCCCAAGCAGCGATAAATATCGAGATGTATTGACATGAATACGAATATCTGAAAACGAGCTTGTTCGCCACTCTGTTGTTTTGTTTGAAATGTGCTCTGTGGGATTAATTCAACCGATTCGAAAATCATTTTAAGTTTCCGAAGATGAGTTTTCTGAAGATAGGTAGAAATAACCACCAAATATTGAAACATTCGAAAATTGACTAGTTAGAAATTTGCGAATACCTAATAAACACGAAAATAAAAACATAATATACTATCGATATTAAGTAATGACTAATTCGGAATGCGAGAAGTGTTGTTAATTTGATTGTGGTAGTAGCAAGAGAGCAGACTGTGTTGAAATCCGTCCACAACCGTACTATATCTTCATTGGTTCATATATTATATCATAACATTTGTGTTCAAATCACAGGAAGTGAAATATCATTTAAAAGAATACCATTAGATTTGAAATGGGTACCTGTCAGTTTGTGTCTCATACATTCTCGTGAACTTACATGAGGCGCAAGATTACATCGAGATAAGAAAAACAACATGCTGCTCTCATCGGTTTGATAGTACAGTAGACAATGGAAATAAAATTTCGAGCAACTAGACGATGCAAAAAAGGTTGTTTCAGGCATAACCATTTTTTCTATTCCTTAAAGACAATAATTTTTTTGAATTAATAGCCAAACAGCCGTATAGTCTGATATCTTGGTTGGTGATGAAAAGTTTATGTAATTATCAAGCTCGGCTAGCGGCTGAATACCAAGCTATTCAATCTGAGTTCCTAACACAATCAACTTCCTTTGCGAACTTGTTAAACACCAATAAATCCGGGTGGCCAATAACGGCCTTATTAATGATCTCCCACGGTTTAATTAGTATTTAACGTACCCTCCCAATTTGATGAAGTTATGTAGGTTGTCATAGGGAGATAGTCAAGCGGCATGGAGGTAGTGTGCCCGAATCTTCCTACAACCGACGAACCTCATCACTTATTTCTCTCTTTCCACCCTTGTGTGGATAATTTCCTATTTCCTAAAACATTTTCTAAACTGGCTATTCAATGAAAGAAACCAAATTGCTATTATTAAACGTATATGCTGTCAAATAAGTCTACGAACGCTTCTATTTCTCTACCGGAAATAAGGGCTTCAAAAGAGGAGAGGGAAGGACGTCAATTACTGAATATTTATTGTACAAAGTAATCAAGATACTGTTTATATACATGCGAACAACGCAAGGGCATATACACACAACAATTCACAGCACAAAAGTTTCGATCCATCCGTTTTCAGCTAAACTCTATTGACCTTCACGCGGCTCGAGTTCAGCCATGGATTTGCCCTTATTTTTTGGCATCTTCTGAGTTCCATAGTCAATCTCTTTTTCTTTGTAATAGTGCGGGGCAACTTCCAATAGCCATTTGGGTTCAATTTCCACAACTTGGCGCATGAATTCTTTCGTCGTGAACACCAGTTCGTGATAGATGACCCATTTGGGCAAAGCTTCGACCAAACAACTGTTCGGATGTGGATGAACTGTTTGTTTTTGTTTTACAGTTTTGTATCCGTTCCCGGTGAAACGAGCGGTGTGATAAAAAAATCCAGCAGTGATTGCCTAAAAAGAATGAAAGGAAAATTTAAAAAAAATTATCCGAGTGCCGACGGAGTCCCACGTGGAACAATCACCTCCTGAACCGATAGAACAGCGAAAAGAAAATGTTTAAACTTCAATTCACTTCATCTAACAGATGAGTAATGAACCAGACGCCACTTGTACGGGAAGCACTGAAAGCCAGTAAACAGAGTAAACGTAATACGTTTACCAATATGTGGCTCTAGAGGTAACGACAACTCCTTTTTATCTACATTATGAGCAATCAGTGGAAAGAATACACCAGAAAAGCAACGTTGGGTAACCGCCTGGATAGGGTGGGGTTGCTAGTTCGATTTTGAATAGTGGACTGAGTTTTGTAGATTTGTTTGTCAACTAACTGATTGTCAGTAAACGAGCCATTAAAAAGAAAAAAGTGCATACAAATAAATAGCTGAGAACATAGAATTATTATGAAATTCCAAAGCCAAATTATCTATAAGCTCCGGTCTGATTCTCGTCCCAGTCAATGATCTCATGTCTTTTCCCATGATCCGATTTGTGTGATGGAATATACAGTGAAACTGCAATGAATTCACGCACAATCCTTAGTTCATCCAGGCAACCGTACATTCGGAAGCACTAGCTAGATTCCAGATTCGTTCTCATTAGAGCCCATTGGTAGTGCGTATTCACCGTCCTGTCACCTCGGATAACTATTGAAGAAAACTGGACTCCAAACAAACTAGAAACTGGCACACATCTTCTGGGTCCTAACAATGATCACCAGCTTGATTGGCTGTCGAAGTGTACTGGACACATCGTACTTCTGAATCCGTCGAAAAGAGCGGATGATTGGATGAACTGGGCACCGGTTCCGAATGGATAACGGTTTTCATCGACCGACCAGCTACCCACGGAGTCAGGCTTTGGTTAACCGAAGACCCCGATTGTAAAGCATCCGAGAAAAATCACCTGCTTTGGCCAGGGCAACCTGTCCACGTTCCGCCTATGAACAACCGATGGGTTGACTCATTTGTTATAGAGATTTTTGTGGTTTGATTGGCACATGGTCTGGAATCTGGCAGCATGAAATATGATAATAATAAACCGTTCACAGCTTGCTCAAGTAATTAAACCATTCACATAGGGTTAAACAATATCGTGGGGATTACGTGGATTTGAACGTTTGGCACCTGATAGATCCACAAAATCGAATATTGACAAGATGCTAAACCAAGCTTATTTAAATGAAGATAAACCGAGATTAGCTGCGAACACTTACTTTTCGAATATTGATATGATCGCCCGGATTGTCGCGCAGCTCGATTTCTACTCGATCCAACAATCCGACAAACTGGTCACGTATGTCCCGAGCCCGTTTCATGGTTCGATATTGAATAAAATTCTCGTAGCACCAATGAGTTGAAAAGTCTGGACAAGTTGGCACATGGAGACAACAGGTGATGCAGAAAAGCTCAGGTGAACAAGTAGTTGCGAGAACGACCAGAACAAGGGTGACAGTGGTTCATTCAAGTATGGGGTGGGATGTGGAATGTAGCCACTGATGAAGGCATTAGAATCAGATGAAACATGACTATGGGTGAGCGATAGAAGTATATGAAAGTGGACTACATTTAGAACACCGTTAGAACAATCAGATCGAATTCCCGGATCTAACAACATGTGATGCGTGTGTAACAAGGAGAGAGGGAGAAAACGATGGAGGAAATATGGAAGACCATCGGGATACGAATCAATCGAACTTTAATTGGGAAAATATTTTCAAACTTTAGAATTTGATAACCACAAGAAGCGCTATGACGGATACCGAAGATGTCTAGGGGGCAATAGAACCATAAAGTTACATGCACAGACTGCTGCAAAAATGCAAAAGCAGCCATGGTCTGAGCTTGACGTCTGCTGTGACACAAAATGGGCCGCTTGACGAGACTTTGGCAACCAAATCTCTGAGGCCAACCACGTGAAGACTACCAACACGGCAACTTTTCAGATCATGAGTTGGCAGAACAAAACTTAGTGAGCAGGACTGTTTTGAAGGGTGTAGACATAATTGTGTGTATGTTGAATAAAGATCCTTTTCATCAGGCAACATGATGCAAATATAACCCATTTTGTTGCTTGTAGCGCTTTATTTCATGAACAACCTTAAAAACTGGTGTAATATGTTTCTCAGAAGAACTCATTTAGAATACGAAGGTCGGAAACTAGGAACAGAGGAACAAAACAATGGTCCAACGTCGTTCGGATCAACAGCATGCCTATTCTCCAGGGATCATACGCAGTTCGTTATTCCACGTGCCACGACGACCCAGGCTCCGGGAGCGGTAAGTTTTCGTGATCGCACGATTAGATTAGTTCATTCGACTTTTCACAAAAATTAGGTGAGTGAAAACTGCGGTAAACTTACACCGATTAACTCGGTGAATATATGCGGTTTACTCCCACTTGAACGGTTTATAATAGATACCGAGTGTTGTCACTCATTTATCACACAAAAACTAAGATAATTTGAAAATAAAACGAAAAAAACTGCGATTTTCGTTAGTAAGAACTGTTGTTCATGGCACACGTTAGGAGCGCAATGAAATTTTATCCGTATCCTCAGTACACCTCAAATCATAGAAGTACTGGAAATTAAGATGGAGAGAAAAACAACTACTAATTGGACTGGTTGACGGAAACAGGTAACTGGACACAAAAACAGTACTGTGAGGCTGACATATCAATGTAATACGAACAAATTCGTATCCGGATGAGTCAACAATCCCTCAACTCCGATGAGGTTTATTATGATTCATCGATATTCAGAGTTATCAAAAATGTTCAAAACAATCAACGACGTTTGCCGAAACATATCACATGTAAACCCATAGGTAACATCCATATGAGAGACAGAATACCAGTGTTACACTTTCACAAGGCGGAGCCTGCTCGAGGATAGTTGTTTATTGCGCATTACAGTTAGGATATCGATAATTTGGCATACATATAGCAATATATCTCATTTTAAACACGCCATCACAATTCCTGGCAGCACACAGGGTAATGAATGGAACAGTTCTTAGTTATTATTTATAGTACAACAATTCGCTCTAAGTGGTCTTGTTCGTTTTTGATCAGTGAAAGAAGCCGCATTATTTGGCGTACTACTCACAAACATGAGTAGTGTCTCACACCACTAGATATACAAACAAATGAATCGAAAAGCACTGACCTGCATCACTCCATTTGTTATAAACATTTAGAAGCATGAGATGATCACCGGCCACATGAAAGAAACCTTTTCGTGCAGTATCAGCGTGAATCACTTTGTCTTTCGGTCGGTAGAAAATCGCATTGTTCACAGAGAGCATGGAAGCGATGGTGATCGCATCGCCAGAACATTTGTATCTAAAAGCAAGATGAAACAGATCACAAAAGAAGAGTAAAAAGACATGAATGAAAAACCTAGGTGAGCAAACAGTTAGTATTTAAGCTGCTCAACAAACCTTTTGAGAAATCTAATGTCAACATTCTAAAGGAAACAAAACCAAGTACGGTCCAAGGGAATCTTAAGTAAAGAAACCAACGAAGATGATGTTATTTTATCTCATTTTATGACCCAGTGAACGCTAAAAGACTGAGAGAATTCGGCGGTATATTTTACCCGACTGCGATGTAACTAGGAAGCAGAAGGCATGATAGACAGCAGATTGGTTCACATGAATAATATATATACCCTCACTAAGATCTAAAGAACAGTCACAATTCAAGGAGTCAACCTAATTTTGCACTGTAACACTGAGACTTCAGCAGTTTATGCGTAGAAAACCGTGCTGGAAGACGAACAAATAAAAAAAACAACGAGAATGCGACGAGTCTAAAAACGAGAATAAAAGCTTTACGACATTTCCTTCTTTGGTGTCTTCCATTGGATTGAGTCACAGGTGAATGAGCCATCAATTCATGCTAATAATACTTATCAAAAGCAAAAGCAGAAAAAAGAGTACATACTCCACACACACTGGCTATTAGATGATCTCCTAGTTGAATCAAGCCTTTCCCGAGAACAATTTCAAAAGAAAAGACCATATTGCAACACTACACGATTTCGCTGCATCTCAACATGGTGCATACTGCAGAAAAGACAACATTTATATAAGGATTTAGCATGAAAGTGTCGAACAAACTGGATGTGAATCGATCGAGCATGATTTATTGGTGTCCCAGGGCAGCCGCTTGAGGTGTAGCTTATGAATTCTATTGCAGCATCATGCGATGAAGGTAAGCGATGGCTCAAGCGTTGATCGCGTATGATTCATTGGTATCAGCGTAGGGGGGACACACACAGAGGCATACGCGTACTAGCTAGATAAACAACCGATGTGTCACGGGAATTGAGGCGTGTGTGACCGAATCCCGTCCCACAATCGTCCCCCGCACTTCAGTGTGAGGTAGAGAAATCGGTGTTGCATGGTAGTCATCCAGACATCGCTG